GAGAATTGGGCGACCCCTGATGTATCAAACCTATTTTTGTACTATTATGAGTGAAGTTAACAGAACGCGTATAGGGCAGCTGCCTGGGGGTCGCTAGGGCTCGCCCGGAGCTGGCGCCAAGTCGAGCAGAATGCGAGCCAGCCAACCCCGAGGGCCGGCACGACCATCTCGCCGGCCCACTCCACCATCACCACCAGCTGGCTTGGGTCCGGCAGGGTCTTCACAGACTCAGCAATCGGTCCCCGCCGCTGGTGGAGTACGCCGCATGAGGTGGACTACTCCACAAAACGAAAATATCAGAGTGACAGAGATGGGTGTCGGCGGAACGGGTTATCGGGCATGATTGCTTGCTGCGTTTCGTACCCTGGAGCCTTCGCTGTCCGTTACGGCGCAAAATTTGGCAGATCGAGTTCGCTTTATTCTTCGGAGAGAAATCTTTACTCGAGCAGAACTCGGTCAACTACGACTCGAGGTTGTGTCGTCTATGAGTCCCAGTAGCAGAAGGCAGAGCAGAAGGCGGAGTAGCATTGCGCGCAGCACCATATGCGACCCCAGTGCTACAGTGGCCAGTCCTGCTCCTGCTGAAACGGGAAGGGTAAACGACGCAACCGCCCAGAATTTAGAGCAGAGCAGGGGGTTACTTGAAAAGGCGATTCTCGAATTTCGCGAGCTCCCACTTGAGGAGAGGCCGAAAATCCCGAGGATACCCCTAAGTTGTAAAAATCGGGATGACGTTGAGGTAGTGAGCCAAATGCTTCTTCCACACTTGGAAGAAAGCGGCAGTCTCAGTGATACCAACTTGATCCTATTTGGCGCCGCATTGGCGGTCTGTTGATTCATCGGCGCTGAAGTGTCCGCTGGGAGTGCTGAACGGCATACCAATGCCCGGCACAGCGAGACTCCGGCGTGGCGTAAGAGGATTGAGAAACGTATTGCCGAGGCCGAGGGTGATGCATTTCATACACATGGCAATGGCGGGGATAGATTTCAGTCTTGCAGACCCCGCCTTAATGCGAAAAGTGTCGGAGCGCATCGATGATCTGAAACAGAAAATTGTGGCTTGGGGAAGTCGGATACGGCGGTACTCGGAGAGGGGCAAGGTTTTGCCGGAATCGTCTCTTTGGGAATGACCAAAAGAAGTTTTACAGTACATGGGAGACACAGGCTGACCCCTCCACTGGCCGAGGACCGAATGTCACAGATGGCCTTTTGGCGGAACATCTGGTCCCGGCCTGTGGAGCACATAGAGGGCGAATGGATGGCACCTATAGAGGAAGCGTGTGCATCGATAGATGCGATGAACCCCATTACCATAGAGTCGGATGACGTGTTGGCTGCGGTCCGTAAAGCTCCGAACTGGAAAACTCCAGGGATTGACGGACTGCACCACTACTGGTTGAAGAGTTTCCGCTCATGCCACGCATTCCTGGCCCGCCGATTCCAAGACGCCCTAGAACAGCGAAGTCTCCCAAATTTCTTGACAACTGGGGTCACTCACTTAGCTCCAAAGTCCACCAATACCGCGGTCCCGTCACAATACCGCCCCATAATGTGCTTGTGTACCACCTACAAAGCACTGACATTCATTCTGAAGAATAAGATTAATGCTCACGTTGAGCACAATCATATCATGGTGGACACTCAGAATGGATGCAGGGGCGGGAGCCGCGGTTCAAAGGAGCGTCTCCTGATCGATGCGGTCGAGGCCCAACAGGTCAAACGCAACCGACGCAACTTCTCTGCGGCCTGGATAGACTACAAAAAAGCGTTCGACTCGGTTCCCCATACGTGGTTGAAGAGGGTCTTCGAGCTGTACAAGATTGATAGTACAGTTCGAAACTTCCTCGAGACCTGTATGGGGCAGTGGAGTACGCAGCTTAGTCTGTTCGGGGTGCAGCTGTCGGATGCGGAAGACCGAATAAAGATTGAGAGGGGTATATTCCAGGGCGATTGTCTGAGTCCACTGTAGTTTTGCCTGTCCCTAAATCCGCTTAGCACTTTCCTGGATAAACCAGGGACAGGTTTTCAGTTGAAGAGAGGATAGTTCATAATATCTCACCTCTTCTACATGGATGATCTCAAGTTGCTTGCCCCAATTGCTCAGAGGCTGGCGGAGCTGCTGAAAATCACAAAGTATTTCAGTAGCTCCATCAGCATGGAGTTTGAGCTGGACAAGTGTGCGGTTATCCATGTGGATAGAGGTCGGATAAGTGATTCCTACCAAGTGGACCTACCGGATGGATCCACCATCCGTATCCTCTCCAAAACTGATACATACCGGTATCTGGGTATGTCACAGAATCTAGGTGTGCATATGGCGGACGTGAAACAATCCGTTAAGAAGGCCTTTTTGGGACGCCTGACTAAGGTGCTTGAAAGCTACCTGTCAGGCGTCAACAAAGTCAGGGCCATTAACGGTTGGGTCATGCCAGTCCTAATGTACACCTTTGGCATACTCAGATGGACTCAGACCGAATTGGACGCCCTGGATCGAAAAGTCCGCACAACTTTGACACTCCATAGGATGCACCACCCGAGATCATCAGTGATGAGGCTATATCCCGAGGAAGAGCGGCGGTCGTGGGCTGCTCAGTTTGTTTAAATAAATGGAAATGCCCAGCTTGCCCAGTGTTGCCATATGCTATTATGACTTTCCTCACTCCCAAACCTCACTGCAAAACCAGTATTACAATTTTTTTTTTTATTATTTAATTATAATAATATACAGTTACAATATTATTCATTTTTGTTTTTTATTTTAAACTTTGCTATTTTTCTTCACAAAAGTTTTCTGGAATCCTTCAGTACTGCCAGATTGGTCGGCTTTCGCTGCAAATAATCACATTTCTTAACATTAATTACATTATGATTACTAAAGACAAGACAACGACAACTCATCAATAAAAAAACGTGTGAAAACAGTAGATACAGAAAAAAGGCATATTTCATATACTTTTATTAGTTAACAGGACTTATAGGTATACATTGGTATATTTTAATAGTGATTCCCATTTCCCTGTGCATAAAAATATGACTGTCAATATCTTTCTACTCTGAAATTCTATGTGCTGTGGTGGAATTCTATGGCCCGACAAAAGTGAATATTGTCATCTTGTAGAGTCTTTGCGTTTTTGTAAACAGTGGTTAACAAAAATACTTATTTAATGTAATGGTAAATGATGGTGCTGAATGCTAATTTAAAAACAGTCAAATTCGGACTGTTTTTAAGGAATCGAATAAAAATCAACTGTTAAAACCAATTAGTTTAATAACTAGAGAAGCAATTCCATACAACAGACGCGCCAAAAAGCGTAGCACTTTTCCGAAATCAGGACGTAGCTTTGCAAATAATATGTATACTCTATAATATAAATAGGTTTATTATATTTGTCTCTCTCATATCTACGATTAAACCTTAAATTAAACAAAGACAGAACATGTGCGAACGACAGAATGAACGGAAAAATGGGTAATTGATATTGTATTGCCAGCTCTCGAAAATTCACCCATTACGATGAATGAATGAATGAACAAGTAATGTAGATATATGTAAAAAATCAATTAGAAAAATATTGTAACTTTGAAAATTTATTTGAAAAGCTTTGAAAAAAAAGAACAATCACGAAAGTAGGCTCTGTGCATATAAATCCCTTTGTCTTTCAATAAAGTCAGTGCTTAAGAGAAAAACATTAGTTAAAGTTAACAAAAGATCAAACAAAGGTTCAATTTTACGTATTTTCAAAAGTTGTATCTCGACAACTAACGAATTCCACGCCTTGAAAAAATTAAATTAACTTTAAAAAATTAAACCACTTTAGCATCTGTGTGCGTCTATGAAAAAAAATATCAACACAATTTGCACAGTTGCCTATACTAAATTTGAGCCATATAATTAATTAAAAGAAGATATTTAGCTAAATTATAGCCACGTAAAATAAAAAGAAAAGGCTCCCATATAGTGGGGAAAATTGAAAGTGAATAGCAATAGCAACACTGACGATAAAATATCAAAATTTTATTTGTGAAAATTAAATATTTTTATTTTATAAACTAGCTTTAATTTTGTTTTTATTGCCAAAAATGTTAATGACGTAAGTGTGAAACTTAATATTCTTTCGTATTATGTGTATTTGTGAAAGAGAATCGTATTTTATCCACTGTTTTTCTTCGTTTTTGCGGAGCATTTTTTTGTACTTTCTCGGCGGGAGTTGAATGAGTAATGAAGTGAAAAACGAAAAAACTAAGACAAACGTCTTAGTTTTAGTAGCTTCAGATTTTTGGCATGTATTGCATATCTAGACATATTAATATCATTGGTTAAAACATAAGGATTGGCAATACTGAACTGAATGTGGAAATATTTAAAAAAGACATTAGTTCCCGAAATCAAACTAGATGTCGCTAAGGTACTTTATTGATGTCTCCATGACAACTTTTCCGGTTTTCTTTCATGTTTATAGGTAAATAAATTCTCAAAACTCAATAAACAACTCATGTCTATGGTTCGAACTTTGCAAATTACAGTTTTTTAATATGTTAGTTAAAAGGAACGAAAATTATTGTATTTGGTCCATTTGTTTCCTTCAAAAATCAACTAGAGTCGCCATCTAGTGAGGAGCTTTTTAGTGCTTTCTTTTGTTTTCTTAAAATGAAACTGAATCTCGTTTTTTCCCGAATATCAACCGAAACCGAACATTTGGTCGGACTAGACCTTTCTTTATTTTTTCTGAAAATAAACCCGTTTGAAAGTTCGGATATTTTAAATAAGGCCAGTCTGATTCGATTCTATATCAAGTATGTGCTTTTGTTTCGATACCGAATAAATATTGCAATATTGATTCGATGCTATTATATATATACTTGGTATCGTATCAAAAGTATCGAGTAACTATTCGTATTTACTATTATCGGAATTTCTCTTTCGGAGGGAGTAGAGGAAAGAGGGTTCTGTATTGTTCATCGTTTCATTCATTTATTCAGTCAGTCAGCAGCACGAGTCAGTAGTCAGTCATTTTTTCTGTGTGTTATACGCGTGTGAGGTCGGTTAGCGAAATCTTTGTTGTACCGTATTTATGCAAGGAGTATAGTGGAAAATTTTCCAACAATATTAATTAGACTATCATATAAATTATTAAAAATTACGATCATAGTCCGTTCAAATCAAATACAATGATTGTGAAGTGCTTTTTAATAGCATTTTTCATCGGTGAGTATCTATTTTATCAATGTTTTTTTAAAGTTAGTTAGTTGTGACTTTCTCTGATATTACAATTGGTAAAAAATTAAGTTTCCTACTAACAAAACTAATGCTGAAATTATTTTGATATTTGACAACATGTCTATCAAATAGCCGGTTGTACTTAATATGATTACAAGAAATCTTTAGGAACTATCCTGAATAATCGATGTTTTAGAAATTTATATTCATCATATGTTTTATGTGAGCAGTGATGTTTGTATTTTTAAAACTAATAAGAACAAAGGAGTTTAGCATAATATTGTTAATAGTTGTTTTGTCCCTAACTTAGTAGGTAGTTAAGTACCTTCATAAATTGGGTTCAAAGGTCAGTTGAAGCAATTATTATAAACATTATATTTTAACAATTAAGGTTGCCAACTCTATTATAATATTGTACTTATATTATATTAAATATAAATAAATAATAAACAAAAGGAAATCTGAAGTATTCATTTCTTTCAATTTCCTTCATTCCCAAAGTTATTAAAATACTTGTTATTCTCAGGTGTTCAAGTCATGTTTTTTATTTTGTTTGAAGTACAATAATTATTATTTATGGAATATTAATTGTGACTATTGTTTTTATGTTATAGGAGTGTCAGCGGCACAAGAAGGCTTCACACTGCCCGAAAATTTCACTGTACCACCAGAGCTTGAAGGCAAAATAGATAAAAATCAATTGGAAGGATTACAGAATCAAACAATGCCTGCTATCAAGAAGAAATGTGAAGAAAATGGAGGTCCGGCTGCTTATGAGAATGCCAAAGTAAGTTGTGATATGCTCTTTATCAAATCATTTATGTAGTGGTCTTGCAAATATGATTTATTCATGTTTGCTTGCATAGGATATTTTAGAAACTTACCAAAGAATATGGCAAATTATTGATACAAGCTATAGCAATGTCGTCAAACAAGAAGAATTTCTTACAATGATATATCACTGTCACTTGTCTGCAAATATATTGCTATTTCGCTCACACAGGTGCATCTAGATCAGGCTTTCCCAACCTTTATTTCGCCAAGCCTCCCCTAGGCAAAAATAGTATTTTCATGCCCCCCTTAGGTAAGTTTCAACAAAAATAAGAAACACAAATTTTATTTATTAATTAAATTATTTATTTTTAGGTATTTTAAATAGGTTGAATACAGATACAATATATTAATTAAGGATAATAGATAATTTTTAAACAACTTTTAATTTAAAGTAATTTTAAAACAAATAAATAAAATTTTTTAAAGTACTAGCTAATGAGATACTTGAGCTTGCATGATCTGTACCAGTTGGTAGATCCTGGGTTCAGTCTTTGCTAAAGCTATGGTTAAATCGCTATCGACCACAAGGCGATTTCACTGCTTGGTATTTATTAACACCAGTGCTGAAAAACCTGCCTTGCATAAATAGGTATACAAAAATGGAATAAGTATTTTTAAAGCAAGAGAAGCAACTTTCAGATTAATAACAAATCGTTTGATCCAAAATTCTAATGTCAAGAGATGAAAGTCATCTTTCATGGTCAAATCAGCCTTCATTCCTAAAAATTGTTCTTGAACTTCTTCAGTAAATTGTAAGACATCGACAACAAATGGGTTTCTGGTCATGTGCATCATTGGTGATTCAGAATTGATATCTCGATAGTATCAATTAAATTCATTTTCCAATGCTTCCAAATGAGTTTCTATTTCAGATTTCAAATTTTTACTCAATTTTTGGTTATTAATTTCTTCAGACAGCCGTGAAAAAGGAAATATATTTTCATCACATATCTTAACTTTTTCCTAACTAACTTTTTCCAAAGTCGTGTCGTGTTGTAGAAACTTGTACAGCAGTGATTGAATGGCAATAAGGAACAATAGGGAATATGCTTTTTTTTTAATTGCTTCTATCGATGTTAATGTAATAAGGTAAAAAATATATTGCACACAGAAAAGTCAACATTTATATTAAAAACTGTAATGACTGTTTTTTTTTTGGAAATGTGTAATACCTACGACGCCCACCTAAGTAATAGATATAAAGTGGATTTTTCATTATAAAATTTTTTTTACATGTTTAAATAGTGTCTATATGTATACCTCCACCCACACCAAATCCCTTGTAATATTGACAGAAAAGATTTTTCTATTTGATAATTTAATTATTTTCGTAAATGCTATACTAATATGCAGACTAGTTTCTGGAGATTTGGTTAGGAGTAAGGACAAGATTTTTTTAAATGTTTTTATAGTATACGAAAATGCGTTTTAAGTGTTTCCACCGTTTAAACTAAAAGAAATATCTCTTTTTAAACAAAGAAATAGAATTATGCAAAAAGTTTAGATCAAATGTATACTCACGTAATCGATAGCTATACGTAGTTAAATCTCTAGTTTTTTCTCTTCTCCGCGCACCGTATAGTATTAAATACTATGTATTGTATAATGTATATTTATTAAATTACCCGAACACAACTTGGCCTGGGTTGGGCCTGGGCATGTAATAAATAAGAAAGTTCAAATAACAATTATCTATTTCGCTCTAAGTAGCTTGTTTTATTGTAACATTATTCATAATAGCCTAGTTTATCACTTGGTCCATAACATAATATTACATCGAAAAACCATTACGCGTACTCTAACTATGATTTACACAAACAATAGTAAAGTCCAATTATTATCACGAAATGGGTGGAAACCTGCTTATGAGTCATAGGGATAACCCTTCAGTGAGGGCGTGAATAATATCCCTAAAGTATATAAAAGTATAGTATAGTTAAGTATATCCGGGAGTTTTGATTCAACTCAAAATCAAATTCGTTCATTCAGTCTGGGCTGGTTACATTGTTTTAACAATTACAGAAAACAGTATCTGTGTTCTGTGGTAACAATCAAAATTAGGTACCTACCATAGGTTTCATATCACTTGTGAAAGTCGAAAATTACCCCAACGGTTCCAAAACTATGCCGAAGACCTTATACTGACTGTGGTGAACCGGCAAGAAACTCAGCAAGGGCTGCTTTTTTCTCTCTATTCTTCAGACATGGATGTTTTATTGGAAAGTGACTTTATTAGACTATGAAGTCACACTCAAGTGATACAAAACCACGTAGCTAATTCAGTAACCTATTATATCACAGTTTCATGAACCATAAAGTTCCCTACTTAAGGGAATATTTTATTCCAGCCAAATTGTTTAGAAACACGCTATCTGCGTTGCTTTTTGCAATTTTTAATTTTTCTAAAGAACTTGTAAACAAACAGTTAACAGTTGTTTTTATTCTAGGACAATAGGGTATTTTACTTTGAAAGAGTAATTTAATGAGCCACAGAAAATACATTATTCTTGCATGTATTCTCGAGTCTTAAAGATTTTGACTCAAAAAACATGTTAACTTTTCCAGTGTTATTAATAAACAAGGTTTATCGTTGGAGTAAATTTACGCTGAGACTGCACTCAGTATTAGTCAAAATTCATATTATTAAACAGAGACTTAGCAAAGGTTAACCTTGTACGAGGTTCTACAGTCAAAGTTCATATTATTAAACAGAGACTTAGCAAAGGTTAACCTAGTACGAGGTTCTACGGGAGTAATATTTACCCCTAGAAGGTAATAGGTTTGGTAATTCTCTAAAATTGTAATTTTACCGTAAATTTACTCTGAGGCTAAACCTTGTTTATTATAGCACTGTTCATTCGCAAAAGCTATCATAGGCATTCATATCGTAATAATGGTACTTATGTAAACAAAATAGTGACAGTGTTATATTTCGTAGTCAATCTAGCTGTCTTTAAATCTAAAAATAATTCATAGTTCTTTCTGTATTTTTAATAATATTATTATCTATCCCCGAATATTGAAAGGGATATAATAAATTATAAGTTCAAGCACGCACTGAAAATATTGACGATGTGGGAACAAAGTGATATTGTGTATACCTACGTCTCTCTTGCCTTGTTAATGTGACATTAACAATAATTATTTATGGTATTTTTTTTATAAAGAACTTTGGGTACCTGTGTTGCATATTCAGCTGAAGCTTGGCAATCATTGAGCGACGCAGAGTATTCTGAGCGTGATACAAGAGTTATTTGTTCCCTTATTAGGGTTTATTAATATCATTTTATAAATTTACACAACCAAATTAGTATTGAATATTAATTGAGTATTTAATTTTGCCAAAAAACCTAGTTGAGGAAACAAAAGAGAACCCTACGATCGCCTATCCGGCACAGATGTCGATTCAAAAGCACTTTTAAGAAATCTATTTGAATAAAGATTATTTTGACTTTGCCTTAGACTATGTTTAATATAAAACAAAGTAGCTTCCCGCTGTCTGTCTGTCGGTTTTCATCAATATACAGATGAAGAGGAATGTTTTTATGGATAATACAGGACCACGCGATTATATTAGTCACAAGGTTAGTGACTAATATAATAATTATGTTAGTCACTAATCTTTATTTGTGATTTATAAAATAAAATAAAACTGCTAAACTTTACTTGAATGTTTCTGATTTGGTGCTTTCTTCCCTGCTGAAATTGAAGAAACTAGAAAATAATAAAAAATACCATTTCATACTTAGAATAAGAAGTCGAGGTCGACAGAACAATGGAATCGCAAATTGCATAAAAGATTACTAGGAATATAATATTTTTTTCTCAATACCTGCAGTTTATTTTAGAGAACTAGTTATTTATAATACCTATTAAGAATTTGTATCAGGAAACCAGTTTGCAATTACCCAACAGAATGTAAGTTACATCGTTGTTTCTTCAATGTAGGTATTTACTTTATATTCATTAACTTTTCTATGTTTTGTCGGGTCTGGGTGCTGTGGTACTTTCATTGTTTCCGATTTTTATATAAGTGCTAAAAGCTATTCTAGATGAGATCTGAACTTTATTTATATTTATATCACAAAATGGTGTCGATTCTGTTGTTATCTTATGTTGTTTCAGTTAATTCAGCATTTATCTTCTACTACATGCAATCTAAGAAATAAGTACACTGCTATACCTACTAAGTATAATAAGTTTACATTTGTTATTAAAGCTGTTTTATAGCTATAATAACAAATGTAAACTTATTATACATATCATACCACTATCGTAAACTTAAACTAAAAAAAATCCAATTGTAATTTAGATTCGTTTTTACCATAATTCTAAAGTTAATTGTTATGTAAGTAATTTTAATAATTTAAAACTGAATTTGACAAGACTAGTTTATTAATAGGAACTGCTACCAATGTCTCTATTTCGATGTCCCCCAATGACTTCAGTTTTGTGTTCTGAAAGACCCTTCTCTGATTCAAGAAAACAGGCCAAGTGGGGGTCGCACTTGCGAACGAGGCGTTCCATACCATTATAATCAATACCTAATTATAATCATCAGTATCATTATAATCACTACTATTATATTAATATAAAAAATGCCCCCTTAAATATTAATTTAGTTCTGTTTTTTTTTTTTAGTATTTGTTATTATAGAGTCAACATAAATATCTGCATTCTTAGTTTAGCTATCACGGTTATTGAGATACAGTCTGGTAACAGACGAAAGACGGATGGATAGCGGATTCTTAGTAATAAGGTTCCGAGATTTTTTCTTTTGGGTATGGAACCCTAAAAAGATGAAATTGGGGAAGAGCAACATTATTTCACTGTTTTAATATTTACGGCGTTTTGATTTTTATTGTAAACCTAATATTCTTGTTTTTTGTTCCTATAATATTGTAGTTTTTTGTGAAGATGAAATTTGGTAGTATTAAGCATCATCTACGGTAG